TGCTGCTTGGCCTGCTGTGTTCATCCAGCCCTGCACCTTGTTGTCTCGGATTCTCCAGCATCTGCAGTTCCTACTATCTCTTTCAGTATTAATATTCTTTTAGGCTGAGGCTAGATTATGTTACTAATTCCATTAAATATAACCAAATTAAATATGTGCTAATAATTATTGCTGATTTGATAGCAATGTAATCATATGACAATTTTTCAAGATTTTGTCGATGATGAAATTTAAAGTGAAAGTCTGAACGGTGCTGGTGAACAGCCACTAGGTGTCACTGGTGCAATCATTCACAATGCAGAGTTGAAGCCTCAGGGCTGAAGAGAAACGGGAACATGCATAATTCACATCAAAATCGCTGTTAACAAAGCTGCTTGCGATACAATCTAATTACAATGTAGAGTAAAATGCCCTCCGTTTGGCTCTGATATAGTTGCAGCATTGTGTCATGACACTTGTTTAATTATAGTTACAGTGCAATGATGCCCTGTGATCACCACTGCACACTTACAGCCACATCTAATGTACTTTTAATTACCTTTTTTAAACATTGTATTATTTATGTTGTTTTGGTAATTTGGCATCTAGTCCAGTAAGAATAAAGTTTTCAATGAAAATAATTTTCATTTATATTCTGTCTTTAACAACTTCAGAACTTCCAAAAGAGTTTTATAGTCAAAGTACATTTTGTCATTATGTAAGTAATTTACTGAGAAGACAGAAATATACTAAATTGATATACTAAATCCAGAAAATGTTGAAAATGTGAACCGTCCTACCACATGGAGTGCTCAAGTCAATAGCATTGATGCATTTAAGGGAAATCTAGATTAGTACATCACAGAGGAATGAATATAGGATATGCAATTGGATTAGATGAAATTACACATTCTCCCCGTGTCTGCGTGGGTTTCCTCCAGGTGCTCCGGCTTCCTCCCACAGTCCAAAGATGTGCAGGTTAGGTGGATTGGCCATGCTAAATTGCCCATAGTGTTCAGGGATGGGTTATAAGGGATGGGTCTGGGTGGGATGCTCCAAGGGTCAGTGTGGACTTGTTGGGCCGAAGGGCCTGTTTCCACACTGTAGGGATTCTATATTCTATCTGAAATAAAGTGGGAGGATGTTTATGTGGAATAGAGAGATCAGTATGGATCAGTTGGGCTGAATTTCCTAAATTCTGTTGTCTGGAGGCCCAAAATTGTTACTTTTTTTAACGTACATACCAATGTTACAGCATCAACTGTTCTGTAAAAATTGAATCCTGATTTGATGCCAACGAAATGGTCGTTACTGATGGTATGCTTGAATTAAATTTATTGGCTGGTAAAGAAATCAGGTTAGGCGTGGAGCGAATGAGGATGCATAGTAGAGTCAGTCATGGAATGCTTTATTGCCAGAGGTACAGTCCTTAAGATGTTAAATTCCTGCTCTCAGTCCTTTCAAATAGTCTTTAAAGCTTCAGGCATTTTGCCAAAGTGCAGCATTTTCCCCCATTATGTTGGCCAGTATTTATTCCTCAATCAAAATTGTAAAAAAAAATCTGGTCATGAACAACTTTGCTCTTCTAGGACCTAGCTATGTACAAATTGGTCCCTCTATTTCCTCCACTGCAGGCCTCTGTGAACTCCCATTTTGGAATATCCTGAGGTAATGAAAGGCTCAATACAAATGGATCACAGAACCATAGAACTATAGAATCCCGACAGTGTGGAAACAGGCCATTCAACCCATTGCATTCACATGATCCCTCCGAAGAGCACCTTAGTCCCCTACTCTAATCCTGTAACCTTACATTTCCTATGGCTAATCCATCTAGCCTGCATATCATTTGACACTATGAACAATTTAGCACAGCCAATGCACCTAACCTGCACATTTCTGGACTGAATAAAATATAAATGAAAGTTCTCTCTTTCTTTGAACACCATTTTACCCAGATCAATGAGGTCTGAGCCGCTCAGAAAAGGTTTTAAAGCACAGCACATGAGTTGTCACAGTTTTATCAGATCCAGTGGCTTCCTTAAAAGACTTGTAGTAACAATGACGAAACAATATATACCCCATATAATGAAGCTTTAATTCATGGGTCATCTGCATTGACTGTCACCACCCACTTTCAAGGAGGTCATGGCTGACAGTGGCATGTTGAATTTCATTCGGTAGTGCTAAGCATCAAACAGATACTGGAATAGATTCTTGCAGACTTTGCACACTATGAAGTAAATACATACAGCCATAATGCTACTGTGAAAAACGTCACAGTGGAAAAGAGGGCAAATGGGTGACAAGAGACCTGAATCCCTGCCAAGATTGATCCTGAGATACAAAAATGAACACAAATGCCTCCCAGGACTACCAGTTTAAATAGCTTTATTTCAAGGAGCTATTTTAGTATTTACTGCATTTTAAATTTTTTTTGCAGACCTGTGTAAGAAAAAAGAAATTCGGTTGAGGTTACTTTCACTGGAGCAGAGTGAAAAAAAAAGCAAAATATCTGGATCAGCAGAAAGTTGTTTTTTTTCCCCACTAGAGGTGTCTGTTTAGGGGGTTTCTGCTGGTATTTTTGGTTCTGACTGTGGCTTGGGGAAATTAATCTTTACTGTCATTAATACGCAGATGTGAAGTTCTCACCACGGCAGGACTGAAGTCAGCATTAACACAGCTACAAGGTGGAAATGTTTAACAGAAAGCTGGAAAGGAGCTGCACTCAGAAAGAAGAGACCCAAGAGAGAATGCGTGTGTGGAAAAACTGGAATCCAGCTCAGTATGAGGACTAGATAGCAATTGTTTTATTTTTAAATGGATCATATGACCAAAAATATTTTTTACAATAAAAGACACCCTCTTTACCAGGATATTTGAAAATGGCTGTTTTATTCATGTATGAATATTAAGCATCCCTTTGCCGAACACAACTATTTCTCAAACAAATAATTATCTTCATTTAACTAGCGCAAAATTATGAAATAAACATGCCACTAAATACTGAGGTTGTTATGTACCACCCTAAATTGTATAATTGCAATTGGACTGTCTTTTTTGACTAGAGTTCGAGAGCAATGTGAACTGGAGAATCAGAATGGAAAAGTAATGAGCTGCTAAATTAAAATGTCTGCAGAATTGAGTGAATTTATTTACATTTGGTAGCCAAGAACCAGTCACATGCATTGAAACTTTAATATGCAAAGCAGTCTTATTAAGGACATTGTGAGTTTTTGAGTGCAAAAAATGCTGTAGATTGACTTCTGTGATGAAAAGTGTCCTGTTAGCATTGCATGGGGCCATCAATATGGGCCACAGCAGCATACGGCTTCAATTCATTGTATTTATTCTTTCTGTTGACGAAGTGAAATGTTTAATGGGTGCAATCTGCACTGTTTCAGTCAATGGACACTTGCTGACATGAAAGGGTGGCATGATTAGCAACGTGCCAGGTTTCCTCCCAAATATAAAAATGTCATAACGACTTTGCTCTGGGCTGGGGATAAAGCCACATTTTTATTCACTGCCAAGTGAATGTCTCAAAGTAGTACTAGATCAAAAATGAAAACAACCTGCAACAATTATTTTTATTGGATTTGGAATGTTCGCCAAATAAAATGAACTGCTTTAATTAGAATGGAACATTAATCACAAGGCACTATTGACATGGTCAAAAAGTATTTTCCTCCCATCTATAGCATATTTATTCAGAGAATCTCGCAACTGAATGAGAGGGAGAAGCTTATCATTATTTAGTTATCCAGTTATAAACAATTTATTCCCTTGATGAGCACCCAGGTTCCCTCCACACTTTTCTTCGAAAGGTTAACCTCCACTTTGCGATTTCTTTTATGATAACATGGGACTCCCATCTCTGAGTTAACAATATAATCCCATCTGTTTATTTGTCAGCAATTTAAAATGTTTCCATTATTTATACAATCATTTAAAATCTGGCCATTGTTTTCCAAAACATCTCATGATAAACTCCATATTTTACAGAGTAATTGAAAATATATTACGTATGTACAGAATAATTTAAAACAAGTTCCTGTACAAAATAGATTGTGCTGCATATTTGCAGAATGATTTAAAACAATAACCTGCTTTACAGCATAGTTAGTATGTATTCTGTAGTACTAAAAAGGACCCATTTTATACAAAGATATTAATAAATTTATAAAATAATTAAGATATGTTCTTTATTTAATTAAGTAGCTTATGTAGTACTATTCAAAAATGTACCTCCTTGTCCAGAAGCTTATACATTATGGCACCATCTTAAAACCTAATTTAAAATGTATCCTTGTATTAGTTTAATATTCAATACAGTCCCACCATTAGAGCATTTCAAACTGTACTCATATTTTACAGGGTAGCTTAAAGAGCTCCCACCTTCCCTTTTAATTTATAATTTACCTGGTGTACTTTTAAATGCAGGAATTTATAACTTCCAATTTTAAGAAGAATTTTAAAAACGATTGTATTTTTAGAGAATACCTTAAAATACACTTTTATGTTACAAAATAATTTAAAATATGTCCCTTTAGGATTAGGTTATGCAATAAAGGATTTTTGAATATTACCAAAGTTTACTTTTATTTCTGATGCCTTCATTTAGCTTTGACTTAGTTGAGACTCTGAGGAGATCATTAGTTTAATGTTGAGGGCCTATACTACTGTGTATGAGTATTTGTGGACCATTTCTAATGTTGTTATATTCTTGTTTCATTGACTGAAAGTTTAAAAATTGTAGCAACATGATTTTCTCAGTTAAAGCACGGTTATTTATTTGCCAGTTGAATAATAATGAAAATAGATTTCACAAGGATTCCCACTTGTGGATCTATTGATGTAATTTCCTTGCCACTTACCTGTTTTAGAAGAATCAGCTAATTATGAAAGATATGATATTTTGCATGAAAAATATCACAGCAACAAACTCAAAATAAATGTAACACAAAACACCTCATGCTTATAACTGTTTTGAACTACTTTGGTTCATGGAATATTAACTGCTCAAAAAGATTAGAGGTTTACTTCCAGGAAAACATGCAGAACAATTTGATTCCAGTTTTTCTAATGTCATCATACCCTCTTTTCCCCTCACTTCCTCCACACCTTCCCTTTCATTATCATACGCCCATTATTTATTGCCAGAGTGAGTAACAAATTGCACTGTGGAGTCTGAAATGTTACTGTGTTACCAACTCCTCAAGAGACTCTACTCAGAGTGACACAACCTGGCACCCTTTCTCTCTCCCTCTGAATGAATGTCTTTTTTCATCTGCTATTATATGGAAAACCAGGTGGAAATTAGCCACTCAACCAAAATAGTGATTGTGGGGCCCAAATTTGTTTGCTCCATAGAAAAGAAAGCTTTTAAAAATATATTAAGGTTGTAAATTATCTGAATTTAATTACAGGGTCCCATAAGTAGCAATAAAGATAACACAGTGAAATCGCAGTACATTTTGAAACTTAAAGTCTTGATTATTCAAGCACTCTCAATGTTCCAGTCACAGGGAAAAGGAAGAGGTTAGTGGAGAATGTTAAAGATATTTAAGCGTTCGGAAGAGTAGATGATAAATATGGGAATTTTTTTTAACATGACTTGAAAGTAGTTTGTGCCAATGCTCACACGTGAGGGGAATGCTGGAACTATTTCAAAAGGTGAACTGACTTATAAATTATTAAAGATTAAAAATAATTGAATGGTGTTTGAAATGCAGAGATGCACTGTTGGGCCCACCACATAATCGTGGAATATGTAAGAAATGAAATTTGAACAGAAAAAACAGCATTGGCCATGCATTGTGTTGAGGCAGATATTGAATATGAATTTTATTTACATTTCAATGTTAATAACTCACCACACTGTTTATTACAATGCATTTTTACACACATTCTACATTTCATAAAATTAAATTATTAATGTACTTCATACATATTCCTCTTATTGACAGAACACCAGGTTATGTTATTTGATGCTATTATATCTAAAAAAAAAACCACAGTGTAAAATGTACACTGTTTGGAACGTGTGAACAATACAAATATAATTACTCACACAGCTGTATAACAAATTCTGATATTACAATCTTTTCATTACAACAATTTGTTATTGTAAATTTCAAGTTATAAAATCTTGTTCTTAAAACCTCGTCAGCACAAGCAATATTATGACATTTGTTTATTACAACCATTGGCAATTATAAAAATCTATTAGTAGAATCTTCCTATCTGGTTGGTTCATCTCCTGTTAGTCCAGTCCAAAATCTGTTATTGCCAGTCAAGAAGCTTGAAACTCAATGAGGTGATCTTTTGCTGAGAAACAATTACAGGTCCTTAGACTTTGTGATCCTGAAATATGATTGCACTGCATATAATAGGGAAGCTCCATTATTTTCTTTTTTCTCTGCTGTGTCTTGAGTGTATCTGAAATGTGATTCAAATATGTTTGCACTGAAGTTCTATATTGCATCTCTATGGTGTTTCCATATATATTTCTCTTTCTCTATGAGGATTAACAGCAGGATTTTGCACTATTTCTTATTGCTCATTATGCCTATAAGATGTGTTTGTAAATATTTTGTAATATATATGTGTTTACCTGCATAAACTGTCTATATGTATGCCTTTTCTTTCATTTATAAAATGATGGCACGGTATATTCATGTCACCATAATCATTGTATAAAATAAAATCCTATGAAAGATAAAAATGTAAACTTTCAGAACATAAGAATTTAAGTGTAAAGTTTGTAATGATTGGTAAATTGGATAATTCATCAAGCTATTAGAAATCAGAAATAATAATGTGTCTATGTGTTTTGCCTGTTGGTATACCAGTAAAAGTTATGCATGTTTAACCAGTTGCCAGCAATCACTAGAGTAACATCACTGATCGCTGATCATGGAGCTCCTCTGCAAGTGATTTTGTGCTTTGTTATATATACATGAGGAGGGGTCAGTTAGCTCAGTTGGCTGGACAGCTGGTTTGCAATGTAGAATGATGCCAACAGCACAGGTTCAATTTTTGCACCAGCTGAGATTTCCATGAAGGACTCTCCTCAACCTCTCTCCCTCATTTGAGCCATTGTGACCCTCAGGTTAAACCACCACCAGTTGTCTCTCTCTAATGAGACAGTAGCCCTATGGTCTGCTGGGACTATGATGACTTTACCTTTATTATATAACAATCTATTTTCTGAAGGTTGGATTTTATGTTTGGTTGTAACATAGAGAGCACGGCATGTCATTTTTTTCATTACAGTAGGTTGAAAAACAAAATGTCAAATTGCCTAATAGACCATCTGGTCTCCCTTGTTATGTGTCTTTTGGGATTATGCTGTGGCTGGTTCAAAAATAAATCGCAATTTTAAAAAAAGTGTAATTGTTCATGGGATGTGGGCATCCTTGGTTCAGACGGCATTTGTAGTCCATTCCTAATTTCCTCAAAATGTCAGCTTCCTGGAAATGTGACTGGGAATGGGGTTGGGGTTCACACTGCTAGGCTTAGTGTGTTCAGAACTTGTACTTGAATTCCAAGTTATAGTGCCACTGTACTGAAATACACCCAAGTTGCCAAAGTAGTTGTATAACTGTATCTGTACTTGGTAGATATTTCTCTAGTTGCACCTTATTATGCCACCTAGTGTGGAAAAATAAAACTTCAGTCACAAAGCAAGCTAGTCACATTTTTTGATTGTACCCTTAGCAACTAATACAGAACCACTCATGGCTTAAACCAGCCTTCCTCTTTAACCAATCTCCTCATTCTCAAGGTCAGTGAAAATTCTGTTGAAGTACAGAATTAGCAGAATACATTAGCTGATGTGTACTGTTCTATGTTAGGAATAT